TTAACCCATATGATCTCATCGCACCGCTCGTAACCCCATAGACTCAGACACTCTCTGCCCAACTCCATGGCCCGTCCCGTCACCCACAAGAAGATCATCCCCTCGTCCTGAAGGGCCGGTATTTGCAGGTTTCGCATCTCGTCGTCGGACATCGTTCCGTACTTTTGGTAAGATTGAGATAAATACGCGATCAGTGGTCAGTTAATGGAAGTGATAGCTAAACAACAGTACCGGTAACTCCATGTGTATATCCCAGGGCGGGTCCGCCATCACAACCGAGAACTTGCCTAATGTGCTCATATCGAAGAACCTGAGGTCGCATTTGATCCATTGTGCGGGAAATAGGATGCAATTGTAACGTTTCTCGATGGCTGTGATATTGGTCTGCGGGACGCCCACCGCGTCAGCAGTGCTGTGCACAACAGTCCGGTCTCTGTCAACAGGTTTGGACTGTTTATCGGAACGACTGATGGAATAGTCGACCAAATAGTGGACATATTTACACGAATCCATGTGAAAGCATGTGTTGAGGAAAGAGCAGTCGCCTAACGACTCGTCGGTATGTCTTTGAATGATTTTCTTGAAGTGCAACCGACGACAAGCGCTGTGCGTCTGATTGGCTTTAATGCACTCCTCTTTGGTTCCGTGCGGACAGAATTCCTTCACCTGAACGCCGCCCACCGAACGGAACTGTTCCACGAGTGACTGCTCTTTGGCCGTCGGCCGCGACAACAGATCCAGTATCTCTTCGCCCATTTGTTTGCTTTGTTTCTCTCTGATTGTCGGCAAAGAGAGCAAACTCTCGAGTAAATCGTCGCCTTTGGTCTCCATTTTGGCTCTTTTAGTGTCCATTTCATCGACGCATAAACTCTTCGTCCGTTTCGCGCCATTCATTTCAATAGCGCTTCCGGTGTCGCCTTCGATGGCATCCATTTCTTGTGCAAAATTTGTGAGCTTTAAGTGATCTAATGATGTGATGGAAAACACTGTCTGGTCGTCACACGAGAGGTCTGTCTTCACCTTTTCTGACATAACAATCAGGTCCTGAAGTGAGAACTTTTGAAGCAAATCGTTGACCAATTGGTGACAATTTTGGTCACCCAATTGGTCGCAACTCTTCATCACATGATTGCACAACACGTTTGAATCGATGGGCAGTTTGAGGCTCTGGTCGCACAAGAAGTGCAATAATTTGCGCTCAATTTTATCGCATTTGCTTTTGTCGACCACAACAACACCGGATGTGTTGTCTGCGGCTGCGGTCGCGGCGGTGGACAACACTTGGCTGACGGCCGGCGGCAACGGCTGATCACCGCCGGAACCACTGCCGGTGAGGATGTCTTCCCTCTCCTTCTTCCGGCGCTGCAGTCGTTCCCGAAGTGATGTCTGCCGTCGTTTGAACTCTTGTAGCTCTTGAAATGTGTCGGTGGTGTCCATCGGCTTCTTCTGATCCATAGCTGATCCGCGGATTGTCTTCGCAATCAATACTGAAATCAATTTTTGAAAAACATATTTTCAAAGCAAAACATTTCGGGCCATAAATAACGTCACGATTTCTGCCATCAATTTTTGACATTTCGTTGATTTAATTTCTATTAAATTGTGATTTAATGCATAAAATGCTATAAAGTTTTAGTAAAAAAATATATTTTTAATTTTATTAACGTATTTCACATGAATTAATGTGTGATAACCGGTATTTGTATGATTGAGATAACAATAATCTAATAACTAATTTGTTTAACAGTAAATATCTATCACTTTTGATTGTATATATGCGGCAAAAGTTAAGTAAAAAATTAATTCATAACAAAATTAATGACTAATATATTTTAAAAAAACAATTAACTAATTATTGTTTGGTATAACTATTATTGATTCCAACGAAGACATCGATGGACAGCCCGTTCCCATGTCTCGAATTTATTGCGATTAGTATTACTCCAGTTATTCCTCGGAAGGAACACCTTATCTGACACACGAAGACTAGAGATATGCTTGTAGTCAGTCCAGTAGCCGACGGCCAGACCGGCCATAAATGCGGCGCCCAATGAGGACATCTCCCGATGTGAGGCGCGCTCAACCTTTTTTCCGGTCAAATCAGCGATCATTTGTACCACAAAATCGTTGTTAGAGACGCCGCCGTCGATACTATGTTGTCGTAAACGTATGTTTTAATTGTCAATTTAAAACTCATTTAAAAATTGAAAACTCTTACCGGAACTGTTTAATCAATAGATTTCTTTGTTCTTCTAAAACAATTTCATACATTTGTTTCACACGAAAGCAAATCGACTCTAATATACTTTTAACCATTTGAGCCCTACTTGTGCTGCAAATGTAAAATTTAATAACAATTAGAAATTATTAAATAATAATTATCTTAAAATAAGTCAAACTTCGAGTTAATGCCAATGAAGGCAGTGGTGGCCATATTATCATTGATGGGCGCCTGAAGGCCCGAAAATGCGGGCACAAAGTAGACATCACTGTTGGTCGCGTTCTGCGCCAAATCACTGGTCTCTTTCGGGTCTTTAAAGAGACCGATATTTTGTGCCCAAAGAACAGCAGTTCCCGTGTCATAGGAGGCGCCTTCCATCAGATACACGGCCTTCGGTTCGTTCACTAATTTCCAGCCAATAATCGGATATAAACTATAGACAGAAACGACAACTAAATCAATATTTTCTATTATCAAAACGTGCGGTCAAACAGAGAGCGCGTACCCCTTGTAAGAGGCGCACGGCTTGACACCGGTGTTGATGTTGATGAAAGTGCCGGTGCCTAACGTGCACTTCATGTCGCCCTCGCGGAAACAGCACTCGCCAAACATAGCCGCCTGTTGGTCGCCAACAGCCGCCCGAATCGGTATCGAAGCGCCTAAGAATTGTGCGTTAATTTGGCCGAAATCGCTGTTTGTGTCCTGAATGGTGGGCAACATTGACGGCGGGATATCAAACATATTGAGCGCCCAATCGGCGTACTTCATGAGGAATGGGTCGTAGAAGCCGGTGATACACGCGTTGGACGGATCCGTGGCGTGCACTTTGCCCGAAGTCAACCGCCATATCAGATA